TGACTGTTTCGTTGAAAGAGAGCTTTCGGTCCTCTTTCCCCTGCTTTATGAAATTAAGCGGTTTTTTAATCCATAATTGATAATCTGTTTTTTTTGTTCTGGCCTGTCATTTTATATAGTGGGAAGGTGCACTAGCTTTGACAACTGCCACAGCTCAGGAGTTACTAACGCAGTGTGAATTTTGTCAGCCTTGTAACATCCTTCTACTGTTTCAAATCTAAGAGCACCAGTAGAGGTGATACATTCTTGAATCTATTGGGAAAAAATGTAACTGAGTCAAAAAAAAAAAAAAATTTTAATGAAAATTCAATTTCATTTCAACTTTTGGAAAAGTTGAAAGATTGGTTTTATAACAAGCATAAATTCTGCAGAAGATGATTTTGATCTCCTTTCTGTTTAGTGGTAACTTTCCATTTGCAAGCAAATTAGAGGAGCTAAAGTTCCTAATTGTAAAATCTTGAGTTTTGAAACTGCTGGAAAGTGGATATAACCATGGATTAATTATGACTTGTAGAAAAAGATAAAGTCCAAATAACCAGTAGTTTTCATAAGTACATTGCTCAAAGCCCATGTTGTAGGCTCTTCCATGGTATTGAGCATCTGTACTATTTTAGAAGGTTTTTTAAAATAAATATAAACCAAATATCTCAAATTGTAATACAGAAAATATTAAAATTTACCTGCATTTACCAACTTGAAAGAAATCTGTCATCAAGGTCAGCGTTCCTGAGCTAGGAGTTCATGTAGTCTCTGCTATGACTGCAGCATCTGTGCAACTGGGTGTCTTTCTTCCCCCCTCCCCTTTTTCTAGGTAGGTGTCCTATTAAATACTTGACTTTTATTCTATTTTTCTGTCACCAAAGTGGTAGTTAGTTATTTCATTCACTTCAGGTTTACTTATCTAGACCTTTAAGATGCTTGTTACAAATTCTTAATTCTTAATGAATTCTTAAAACTTCAGATCATGATAAAATAAGTGAAGAAGAAATCCGTTTACATAAATGGTGTTTTAGACAATAAAAATAGATTGCATTTCATGTCACAGCAACAGCAATATATGCAAATTTACTCTGCAATTGCTCTGCACAGAGTGAGTGAAATTCTGTTTTTTAAATTGTTCTTGTTTTGTGCAGGATGTGGATGACTTCTTTGAACATGAAAGAACATTCCTTGTAGAATATCACAACCGAGTCAAAGATGCCTCTGCTAAATCTGATAAAATGACAAGATCACATAAAAGTGAGTTCTTTTTCCAGAGTGAAAACAGTACTAGTTAAAGCGTACAGAAGTGGTTCGTGAGGAGCAGTAATTTTTAGTTTTCTTTTCGCATGCAAAAAGTTAATTAATTTCTCCAAGTGTAGTCTTTGGGTGGTCTAAAGAAGTTTAATCTGACTTTCAAAGTTTAGCCTTTGCTGTAATAGACTAGATGGATTAAGAACAGCCTGATGCAACACTGAAGAGATCTTGATTATTCATACTGTCCCTTTGAAAAGAAACACGATTTATGTAATAATGTTTTTTTGAAGTCTGATTCTTAGTCTTTAAAGTGTAAAGGTGGGTAATATAGCAGTATATGTGATTTTACTCCTAATGAAGTTGCTCTTGATTGGATGAGCTTGCATTCATCAGAGTGCAATTTCTTGGCACACTAGGCATTGCATTACCTTGCTGAGCAGCAAACTCCTATTTGGGCCATTAGTTCTAGACTGGGAAATCAGGTTTCTGTTTTTCAGCCTTTTAGAATGGAGACTGGAATGTGTACATTCAGTAGCTTGGTTTGCAGGACCCCTTTTCTTACTGAGGTGAGATTTTCCGCTTAGCTATTGATTTCTCTTCCTGAGCTGAGTGCTAGCTAATCTGATTTCTGGAAGCTCTAGGTAGTCTTCTCAAGTGCAGTGCATTTATTTGAGAAAATTAAAAATCTTCAGTTTAGGACTACTGTGTTTGATTTAGGATTACTGTGTTTTGAGAAGCTCAGAAAAAAGTTGACCTTTATTGCCCTTGATTTTAAGTTTTTGTGTCTAGATAAATCAAAATTGAACTACTAGATTCTGTCTACTTTCTTGAAGTTTGTGTCTGATTCACGGATTCCGTCTTTGCTATCTACAGTAGTACAATTCACACAAAACCAGGCCATTGAATCTCCATTGGTAAGGACTCTAAAGTGGATATTGAATGAGACATTAAACCAAAAATTTAGTGAGCTCTTCAGATGCTTCTCTTGCCGTTGTACGAAGACTGAGTCTTTTGTAGCTTTAGTATCTGTGCTAGGAGATGGGGAGAGTCAGTTATGGTTTAATGAAGTACTAAAGGACCCTGTGTCTTCATTCAGTTCCCTCTGAAGTGGTTTCTGGTGTTTTGTTTGCTTTCTTAAAATGAAGACTGAACTTCATTCATGGTAGTTAGGTGCCAAACTTCAGGTAGTGAGAGAGCCTTTCGCGTTGGTTGTAGAACCAGGAAAATTGTTAGAAATGAGGTTGTAGAGGGTCTGATGGGAAAAGATTGATCAAACTCGTGACAAAGCTTCCCTGGTTTTCAGACTCAAATCACCTAGCATTTTTATTGACAGCTTTTATCAAACTGCAAACTGGGACAAATGGCAGCTTTTGAAATTCTGGCTAGAGGAGTAGAGCAATGACCTGGGAAGCCTGTTTTGGAAATGGGCAATCTGTAGTTTATGGATAACTTATGATTGACAGAGAGCTGCAGGGCTTGCAAAGATAGTGACTTCCTATTTCCAGCAGAAAAATCTATTTTTACGTTAAAATGGGAGGAATAGAAGGGGAGGTTAATGGCTTCCTAATACTATTCTTCACTGTAACCAACTGCAGTGATTCCCTTGGGATGTATGGAGTAATGAATTGGTTGGAAGGTGACCCACTCAATCTGTTAAAACAAGGTTGTGTTATTTTAAAAAAAAAATAATTCTGCTTAAAGGCATATAAACTTCAAAAATAACAGGCATATATATTTTCCTGTTCATTGCTTGGATCTGTTAGCGTTTTCATCATCCCTTGAGTTTATACTAAAAACTCTTTAAAAAAGCCATCTGTGCAAAGATTTGATCTTTATGATTACTATATAGCAATACCTCACAAATCAAATTATGCAGCCTTCTTTACAAACCCTGTTTCTAATTTCATTGTTTAAAATGCTTTAACACTAATACTACTTCAATCAGTGACCACTTCTTGATGAGGTAGGGGTTTCCTGAAAATTAGGTGTGTGCTAGAAAGGTGTTGTGTGTATAGCGCTTTATTTTGGTAGTTTTGAGTTTGTATTCAATTTACTGCTCTCAAGTACACAAACTTACTCTTTGTTATTGTTAGACTGTGATTTTTTTTTTTCAAATAGCTTTAGACTTTAAATTCAGATTTTAATTCAGACTTTAGTCTGAATAGTCCATTGAGTTTGTACATCTTCCACCAAAATAAAACCTAACGAAGTTGCACAATAAATTTACCCAGCAGGTGCTAATTGTATTAAATATTCCTAGATAAATTACAGACTTCATGATTTGATGAAAGCGCCATGTTTATTGTGTAAAGTTATTCTTCATAATAAGTGACATGATTGAAATTTTATTTCTGCTTTTGTGTTAAAGCATGTTCCTTTTAGAAAAACACCTACTCTTGAAGAAAGAGAGGAACGTCAAAATTTTCAGAAAGAAGAGGAATGAAATAGTAAAACAAGTGCTTGTTTGTTTTTCTAGATGTGGCGGATGACTATAATAGAATTGGTTCTTCATTATATGCATTAGGAACACAGGACTCCACAGATATATGCAAGTAAGATATTGTTAATAACTTACGAGGGAATTTGCTACGTAGCAGTCTTAATGGTGACCTGCTGAGATCGGTAGCTTTCTTGTTATGAGAAAAACAGAATTTATTATAATTATATCGCATTAAGAAATTTTCTTCTCTAGTGTTTCATTTCTGTAACAGGCTGCTCTAATATTTTTGCTTTAATATTTGTCTGGAAAAAAAAGCTGTTTTCTGCAGTTTGTAGAAAATTACATAGATGAGGTGGAAAAGTCATCATAGAATAAGGAAAAACCCCAACTCTCTCACCAGGTTTTTTAAAGTGTTTTAAGTGCTTTGACATGTGCAGCAAGAACAGGTCTCAGTCCAAGTACACTGATTTTTGTCGGTGTTCCCTGTCCCAACATCTTGAAAAATAGTTTTGCTGTTCTGGCAGTTTTAATGCCTTTAGGAAACGAAAGGAATCTACAGAGATCCCTAAAGCTGTGAAAATAGAAGAGAGTCTCTATGTACAGATGTTTGCCCTTTAATCTTTCAGTCATTTGCTTGAATATGAAGTTTGGTGTATCTGAAAGTAAAACTTAGTTAACTAGCTTAAAGATGTTGATGCTTGTGAACATGTACACTTAGAGTTAGTGTGATGACAGGTAGGAGATGAGTATGAAAGTTAACTTGTTTTTATTAATTTACCTGAATTACAGTGATATACTTCCAAATGTGATGATAGCTTACATACCGATTACTTTGATGATAGTATTGAGATTTGATGTAGTCTGTTAGGGTCTGTCAGGAATCGCGCCTGCCATCTGTCAAAATAGTATGATTTGACTGTAATTCAGTCTGGTGTTATACTGAACCCCTGTATTGTGATGAAGATGTGCCACATTGTTGCTCAGCCTCCCTGAATTCAAAGTAGGGCATGCGTCATGTTTACTGCGTGAAGAAAAGTACATTCAAATTTGAGTGAAGGACGCTTGATAATAGCGGAGGACTGTTAAGCAGGGTGGTGGTGTTTGGGGTTTAATTTACAGAAGCATAAAGAATCCCTGAGGAGCTGTGCAATTATTATTCTTTAAAAAAAAAGTAAAAAAGTAAAGTAAAAAACATCCATCCATTTTGCTTCATTTGTCCCTTACCTTTTCTTTAAGTTGTACAGTTCCCAGATGTTTGAAGTGCTACAATTTGAAACTATTATGTTCTCCAAGTTCTGTGAATTACAATTCTAAGCAATTCTAAGTCTTTATTGCCAGACACAGGTTATATTTTGAGTTCTAGAAAGTAACTAGACTGTTCAAATTAATGTTGTAATATAAGCTGTTTTCTTTGTGCAGGTTTTTTCTGAAGGTATCAGAGTTATTTGACAAAACAAGGGTATGTACTATGAAACCTTTTTAGGTACATTCTTTGTGTACGTCCTGGAAGTGTCAGGACATCTTGTGTCAACTGGACATTAATATGTGGACGTTTTATGGATGCTTCTATATGAAGCATTTAAGCAATGTGTGGTAGGGAATGAAAAAGTGTAAGATTTCAGTCATCTGTTTTGTAAAATGATTGATCCTTAGGAGTCTTCAGTCTACTAAACATTTCTAGGCAGTCTTCCTGTCTTCTGTGTAATACACTAGTAAAGCTGCTGTTCTCTAAAATGCTTAGAGGCCTTCCATACTTGTTACTGGGTATCGCAGAACCTGTTGTGGAAAAAAGAAAGAAAGAAATGTAATCCTTAATCCAAAAAATGGCAGTCATGCTGCTTTTTTCTGGAACCAAGATCTGTTTCTGCAATTATTTGACTCAGAAATACTATTGCTGATGCTTCTAACCAGATTTTCAAATATCTTGTCTCTTTTGCCTTATTTGGTTGGCTTGGTAGAGCAGAAGATGCATGCCATGTATCAGGAAAACTTTTGAATTAAAAATGTGTGCATTTCCTAAACACAGTTATATCTGCATACGTCCTTTAAAGAAAATGAAGTTGACAGAATTACTTGCGTTGACCTAAAATGTTGCTTTTTAGATTTTTTTTTTTTAAATTAAGATTTAAAAAATGCACTTGCAACTCTGTTTCTAAATTCACAGAAATGTCTGCTTCAAATACAAGCAAATAAGTTTATTGGGCTTTTGGACCATTTAATACATGCAGTTATACAACAAGTCTGCAAAGATGCCTTAAAATTTGTTTTCCTTTGATCTCAAAAACAACACAAAACTTCTTGTGTAGCTCTTTATACTAGATAAGTTTTGTTTCTTTGTTGTTTTCCTAGTGTATGATACATATAATTGAAATTGGGAAGAAAGCATTGTGTAAAATAGAAAGCTCGTTGTCAATTACTGCTCGTACAGTAGGTTATTGCTTACATTTTAATACAAAATCCTAATACTGCTTCTCATGATGCATCTTTAAGTATTCTGTCACAAATGCATGATCTTAGTTTTTGAAAAAGACAATCCGTCAGGTACTGTTTTATATTTTATGTTGTATTTACATCACAAAAGTGAATACCCAAAGTCTGGATGTTTTTAAATTGATGCTTTTACTTACTGTTTTTCCAGAAAATAGAGGCCCGGGTATCTGCTGATGAAGATCTTAAACTTTCTGATCTTCTGAAATATTACCTAAGGGAATCTCAAGCTGCTAAGGTGAATTTATGGTTTTTTGTTCAGTGAAATAGTTTTCTTTAAGCAAAGAAAGGAAGGGGGGAAAAAAAAAAAAGAGGTAAGGGATCATCTTGAGAAATACACAGCAGATAGGTTAAAATGCTGCTGCCTCTAGCTTGCAATTTCTCCCTCAGCTGTAAAAACTGGATCTCTGTTGTATGTAAGGAGTTGCTGACTGTGTGACTGACTATTTGGAACTGTGTGATCCACTTCTACTGTACGATTTGGCCTCGATAATTAAAAACAGTGGAAGAGCTGTTGGTGAATTGTTCATGTGTTTGCAGTGTGTTTGCTGCTGATAGACTGCAATCAATTCTACTTTTTTTTAATATTCAGAATAGATACTCCAGATGATCTGCAAGTGCTGATACAAAAACACATGGGCCAAATTTGATATTCTATATCTACAGAAAATTTCATTTTAGTGTTGTTGATGTAAGGTGATTAAGTAACATGACAGAGTGAGGAAGCATTTGACAGAAAACGTCTGTAGTTAGAAGATCACAGCAATAACTGTTGCACAAAAAATGCTACTACTGTTTCTTGGGCCCTGTGTGTATTTCAAATACATAATCTATATATAGTTTGTTTCTAATTTAAGAAGCTGTGAAATTTCCTATGATTGCCCCTTTTTGGGCTTTTTGGAGTATCATCTAAGCCATCTGTTGCTAGCCTCTGTCAAACAAGATGCAGACCAAAGAATATTAAATTGTGTGTCTGATCCAGTATGGACATTCCTGTGACTTGCAGGATGAAGTAAAGTGAATACAAATCATTTAGTAAGAACTGAAATACAGCAAGAAAGACTAAAATTAATCTGAATTTTTTTTATTACTTGGTATATATGGAAATTCTTGGGTAGATTCTTGTAAACTCTATACATTCTTTATGTTTTTTTAAATAGGATCTCCTATATAGAAGATCTAGGTCACTAGTGGATTATGAAAATGCTAATAAGGCATTGGATAAAGCAAGAGCAAAAAATAAAGATGTGCTGCAAGCTGAAACTACTCAGCAAATATGCTGTCAGAAATTTGAGAAAATATCTGAATCGGCAAAACAAGGTATTTGGGTGGTCTTTGATCCTACGATACTACTTGAAAATTAACAGATTTAGGATATTATTAGTGAGAATAGATTTTTGTTCTGTTTCCTAAGCTGAACTATTATCTTTTAATCAGTATTTACTTATTTTAGAAAGCTCAAATGGTATTTTCCTTTGGCTCCTCATAGGTCCATCAGGCAAAGCAAAGTCTAAGTGCAAATTATTTGTTAACCACTTTTTTCTATGAATAGGATAGGATACAAAATGATAATTGCTAGCAGTAAAGGCAAACCTAATCTTTTAAACTATTGTTGAAATTCCCCTTTTGGTTTTATGCATTCTACTGTGAAGGCAGCAGTCTGTCGCAGAGATGATACTACATTAGAAAAGGGAGAGATCATGAAATGAGATTTCATTGAAGTTGCAGTGTTACAGTAGCTCTAGAGAAAAGGAACCTTATTTACATCTTGCCTTTTTCCTGGAAACTTATTCTTTTTTTTTAGGCTAAGATTGTTGTGAATTAGTAGTCATCTGACTCATTATTTGGGGCAGATTTGTTCAAGGTCTCTTGAACACCATGCTCTTCTGTTTTTATCACTTACGTGTTGTTTGACCCTGTAAATCTGGCTAATGATTCCTATAAATGAGACAGTGGAGAATGAGCGATCCCATTAGCCTCAAAGGTATATCCATAAAGCCTACTTGCTTCTTCTGTTCTTCGTGCTAGTTTTAGCTTAGTATCTTCCCTAGATACTTTTATGTATCAGCCTTGAAAGAACAGTGCACATGGAATAAGAGGATTCAATGTTTAAAAGCATCCACATTGCAGTCTCTTTTCAAGAGAGCTTTGTGTCCACAAAAGGCTAGCTAGAGATGAGGAACTGCAATGATGGTTTGGTTTCATCCAACGGTGTAGCAGTATCTTTGAGCCCGGAATGTGCTGAAATTAAACTTGAGTTTTTTTCTGTTGCCTTGTCTTACCCTTTACCTCTTCCATCCTGAAGGAAAGTCTGTTAACAGTTGAGGGCACTGGCAATAATACTGTTAATGAATCCATTTTTATTTTCTACAGAACTGATAGACTTCAAGACAAGAAGAGTTGCAGCATTCAGAAAAAATCTGGTGGAACTAGCAGAACTGGAATTAAAGCATGCTAAGGTAATTGTGATCCTTTTTGGCCTGTATTTCAACTGATTTTAAATATTATATGCTTGAATAACTGAAATGGCTACCTTTGTTGTGTGATACACACTTCACATTCAGGAAGGGGAATTTGAAGGTAAGCATCATCCAGAAAGGTGAACTTTCTTGAATAAAAAAGGGGGGGGGGGGGAAAGTGTAGGTGAAATATCTCCGACGGACTGGTGTGCTTGAGGTGCTTTTGGAAAACTCATCTCCTTGAAGACAATTTTGGCTTCAGTTTTATGTTTCTCTAGCCATTTGATATTTATAGCTGCAGAGTTTGAATACCTGCCTATTTTTAAAACCTCATTTCACCACTTTACTGTGAGATAGGAAGTGGTTTCTCCTGTTACCCAGATGTTGGGGACTTGATGTTTAGGATAGACTAACTATTAAGCATGAGATCACACAGGCCTGTCTGAAGTCAGATCAGTGTTATTCTGAGTATGCTTTTTGAACCTTTTTGCCTTTAAACTATAAAGTGCTAACAAAAGAGGAATGTTGCAGATAGCCTTTTCCGTAAAATAAATTTTTGCAGGAAGAAAACTTCAAAGGGCCTGTACTGTCCTTAAATTTCACAATGTATTTGATTCTTTTAATCTGTAGGAAATTAATGGGTTTGGTTAAATCAGGTTAGCTGCTCTGATTTCACAGACAAATACAACAGTCGTTTACTTTAACAGTCTTATAGCAGGAGGTAGCTTTCTTTTAAAAGTCAACTCTAGCATTTCTCATTCTCATCACAAATCTGAAAGTGCGTTGACTACCAAGCTTTGAATTAACTCGGAACTCCTTGAAAGAACTAGTTAAGAGGTATATAGTGTTGCTGGGTTAACTTGTTGCTGCTTTACACTCTTCTCAGTAGTGTTGACAGTGTCATTCATCATTCTGCCAAACCCATTGTTTGTAAAACTAACACACAGTAAAAAGGGTTGTTTTGGGGACTTTTTTTTTTTAATCTTTGTAGGTTTAAGTTCAGCTTGATGGGATATTTAGCTGGTAAAGTAATCAGTAAGGTCTGGAATACTTGACTCCTTTTTCAGATAAACAGTGCTTACTTTAATGTGCTGTATCAGAAATTCAGATGTATTTCCCCTAAAATCTTAAAACTTCTTATAATACTTGGCACTATTCAGCCTTCCTACTTCTCTGTGTGTAACAGCTGTCTGTATATCCAGCCCTGAGTCTCCCAGAAATCCCCCTGTTTGGTCATGAATGTACTGGTTACGGATTTTAGTGAAATTAATAGTCCTAACAGTCATACTTGCAACAGTTTTTATTGATTTGCCATATCATATTTTAATAAGAGAATGAATCCACAGCCCTTCTGTCCTGCTTCAGTCACTGACTCATCATCATCTCTTGTAACTGACCCTTGCTGACCCTTAATGGTTTTGAATTTTTAAAGCTTTAGAATATAAAAGGTCATTTTGACTAAGGCTGACAGTTTTTGAAATGCTAACAAATGTTGTGACTTGTAGAATGAAAGGATATTTTGTTTCTCACTAGATTTGAAAGTTCTGTTTTTTCAAAGCCTGTGTTTCATATTTATTCAAAACAAGCTACTACAGATGGATCAGTTTGGTTGCTGTGCTTTTGTTTGTACAGATTCTGAGTTTGATTATGACAGAATTTACAAGAGCAATAGATCATATTTTTCAATTTTATATAATGGGAAATTTTCTTATTAATGCTATAACCTGTGTATTTGAGGATAGTCTTATGGGTAGGTTTTTATTAGTCTGTACAGAGTATTGAAGGATGAAATGGTTTGGTGGAGACTTTCTGAGGTAGTTCCATAAAAGGAAGAAAGAAGATATGAAAAGACTTGAGGTTTTTTTTGAGGTAGCGTTGTGCCCTGATGTGTGAAGAGCAATGTTAGGGGAATATGGAGGTTTCTCCTTGTCCCGGAGAGAACATTTTTATACTTGTTGCAATGCAAATCATGAAGGGGGAGGCTAAGTAGCCCTGGTTTTGGTTGGGCTAAGCTGGGGTGTTTGTAGACACCTAATTCCTTTTGCAGCAGAGCCAAAAAAAGGGCTGGTACAAGCAAAAAGAAAGGTACTTTTTCATGTAGGCAATAAATTAATGAAGTTGGATCAAAAGCCCCTTGCTTTAAGGTTCTAGACAAAATACTTTGCCTGATGCTGCAGCAGTCCCTGTCTTCATGTTTTTGCAGCTACTGGAGGCACGTGAATTTTAGCAGCCCCAAACTGGAAATGGCTTGGCTTGTCAATGGCATGTGGAGCACAGCACTCCCACACTTTGCAACATGACCTGTTATTCAGGTCTAAGTGCTCTTTCCGGCAAAAAAGCTAACTGGGGAGCGGGGCTGGGGGCAACAGATAACACTGCTGCAGGCTTTTCCTACAAGTCTTCTGTTGTGTTTTTTTTTTTCTGCTGAAACAAGTACCTCCAGACTAGATGTCATGCAGATGCATCTGTCTCTGAATCGGTCTAGCCATGTGTCTTCTGGACTTGGAGTTGCCTGGCACAGAAAGCATGGAAGTGAAATCTGATGCGGCAGTGGGTGCTGGAACTCACCTGAGAGGCTGTCTGTGGGAGGAATTCAGCCACAGTGAAGGCTGCTGAATGACTTGCTGTTAAAAGTTGTTTGCTCTGTGCAGAAAGAAAAACACAAATCCCAAAACACAGAGATTGCTGCACTGAAGAAGTCAGAATGACTAAAGTATCGAGAGAAGCTTCTGAGAGACAGCTCACATTTCCTGAGCTATACCAGGCTGTGTGGCTCTAGAAGACTGGAGAGTGATAAGGAAATCAAGCTTTTAGTAAACCAAGGACGCTGTATATACAAATACTAAATGCACCCTCTCTGCCCAGTTATGTTTATACTACTTCCTTATAAAGTACTTGTTTTAATCTGCTAATATCCTCTTATCCTTTCCTGGTTGCAGCTCAAGACTTTTGAAAAAGCTAAAAATCAGAGTGTGGGTTGAGATTGCTTTAAGTTGATGCAAGTGCAGACTACTGCCAGGAAGGATGATGATGCATGACTCTGTTCCTTTCCCTTATGTTGGCACTATTATGTGTGCAGCTGCGTATTAAGATGGAGCTAAAAGTTGCTCTGGGTTTTTCTAAACTTTACTTTCACTCTTGTTTTCACAGGTTTTGGCTGGGAGGGTCTGAGAATAAGAGAGAGCTGACGCCTTATCAGCAGCATGTACCCTAGATTTACTTGAAATAGCTGCCAAACTGCAGCTTTAGATTCTGCTTGGTCTCTGACCTATGATCAACAGATTGATACTTCTTTTTCTATGGCCTTTCTGTCTGACTATCCCTCTAGGTGTAGTGTTTAGCTTCTGTTTTGCTAGCTCTGTGTTTCTTCATGACTTCATGCAACTATAGCTAATGTAAGACCTGATTAAGTGTTTGGGCATTTAATGCAAAAGCTGCATTTAAACCTATTCAGTATTTTAAACAGTGGATTATGAGGTGTTCTTGTGTTGGACTCCATGTACAAGAGGGGAGGTTTGATAGCTGGTGAAACTGCTAAGGTGTTATGATCATATAGTTACAGCATTTATAGCCTTGGCTATAGACTTTTAGAGTCTTTTGACAAATGAATTGTAACTGAGTAAGATAGCCACTTCCTTCAAATAAAAAATAAAAAAATGTAAACGTCTCTTTCCACAAATACTAATATATATGCTCGTGCCTCTATGGGTCTTTGTGGAGAAAGGATTTGTTGCATTACTAGCAACAGATGTCTGTTTGGAACTGACAGATGAAGCAAAATCCAATGCTAAGGGATTTGGTTAAATGCTTTGTCAGTAATTCTTTCTTTCCTGAAAAAGATGTCTCTGTCATCATGGTTTGCCAATAATTGTAATATCTAGAGCTTAGGAGTCTGAGTTGGCAAGAAACGCTTTTCTGAATCTGAATTTGTAGAACTTTCTCAAGCTATGCTGATATAAGTCAAGTATGTCGGATGTTGCAGTCAGAAAGAGTAATGGCTGACAAGCTCTATTGTCCTTGTTTTGTTATAATTTAAATAAGGTTGTTCTTGTGAACTTTGTAAATTTGATCTAATGAAAATGAATGATTTGCTTATTTGGAAAATTTCAGTAGACTGGCTGGCTGAGTCTGCAAATGACTAACGTATAAAGGAGGTCTTGGTACTGTCTTTTCTTTAGAGTGCTATGTAGTCTGAATTGCGTAGGCCTCTGAATTGCAAATATACTTCATGCTGCTGATGGGCTATAAAGAAATGGCCAAAAGATCACTTCACACTTTTGTTATAGGTAACATGCGTGCAGCCCACAATTATACTTCAGACTGAAGTATTCCATTTGAAGACTGAAGTATTCCTTTTCATTACTTCATTACAGCCAATAGTCAGCTGTTCAGTAACGGACACCTTAGATTTATGAATCCTGTACACTACAAAGATGGGCTACCAAGTCCCCATGCATCTCATATATATTGAACTTTTAAATAGCCTTTTAAATAGCTTGTGACTGTCCTCTGCCAGTATAGGCATAAAAGGGCAAAAAGCTGTTGAAGCCGTAACTGAAATCGCTGTCTTCTGGAGAAGACTGAATAGGATTCAGTAGACACAACTGGGAATCTTCTACTTTGAAGCCTTGAATTAGTTAATTGCTTAATCTGGGTTATAAGAACCTTAATGGGGGATAGAATTACGATTTCTTACCTTCTTGGGCTGAGGGATGAGTGTCCTTCTGCCTGTCTACCACAGGTCACTTGGAATGCTTTCAACTGAAAAAGTAGGAAATGCAAATTCTTTAGTACTTCTGTGGACTGTTTATCAAGGACATGCAAATCACAGCTTCTGATACTGTTTAATTACGTCCATTTGTTTGTTTGAAGTTTTCTTTACGGGTTTCTTTTTGGATCCAAAAACATTTTAGAAGGAAGCCGTTTCTCCCATGTTTTTAAACTCCCATTTAACTGAATGCCAATGGGCATTCAGACTGTTTTGTTCTTGCATTTTATCTGAACCTGACAGGAATTACTCTTAACACTGTCAACAACCTAACATTGTTTCTTACACACAGATTTCAGACTTGGGAACAAATCTGGTACAGCTATTTAATAGTAAATAGCCAGTAGTTTAAAGTGATCTACGCGTAAATGAATATACAAAACAATGTGAATACTGTGGATACCAGGTTGTTAGTTTTTTCTTCTGGAAAGTAAATCCTGGCTTACTTGTCAATCACATTTACTTAATTCACAAGGGTATCTTTTTAAGTGTCAGTTCTGTAAGTTCGTTCAGAAATCTGAAAGTCAACCTGTATGTTTTTATGGTAGAGTCAGAATGCTTTAAATAGGATTAAAAACTGACCTACAGGTGTTTGAAAAGAAGGGCAGAACTTGGCCTTAGAGAAAAAGCTTAGTTAATGTTCTGATAATCACTTCTGTAGCTCCGGCTCTAATGGCTAAACTCAACTTTGATGGCTAAATCACCTGGCTAAGCATGTTAATCAGTCTGTGGTCTTTCAAACAAGGCCTGTCCTGAACAGAGCTACGAGCTTAGGTGGCTGTTAGGGCGAGGAGATACGGAGTGCTGTGAATTGGTTAACACTTCTTGATGAATTCAGTATGCAGTATAATATACGAATACTTCTGCTTTGGGAATAATATTCTAGTGACAGAGTAATGGCAATACTATATACAAAATTAAAACTTTGTAACTTTGAACTTCATTGCTAAGAGAGTGCTTCGCAGTGAATAGTTTTTGTGGCCAGACTAGATCTTTAGTAAGAAACTTGTGAAGAAACATGGAAAGAGTACTAAATGCTTATTTTTGACTCTTAAGTGGGCTCTGTTTAGTTCCATGACACAATGCTCCTACATTCAAAAAACTCTTAAGATAAAAGTTACTTACATAAATATTTCTACATAAGCTTAATACCTGTCTGTTCTTCTTTAGTGGTGTCATTGCTATTTAAAAAATGTCTTTTTGCCGGAAGTGTAAAAGAAAGTAGGGAAATGTGGTCATATTTTTCTTTACTTTTGCAGGGTAACTTACAGCTGCTGCAGAGCTGCCTGGCAGTGTTAAATGGTGACACATAAGCTACGCTCCGTCCTCCCACTAACAAGGGCTGCCCTCCTCTGGATTTTGTTTTCAGGACTTTAAATAGGCATTTACAGTTCCCTGGAGAAAACATTTGACAAAGTGCGCATAAGCAAGCTCCTTCTTTCAAAAGAATTAAACACCTGAAAGTAGCTCCAGACTATAATGAAGCAACAGCATACTTGTTATACATACATATTCATTTTATTTAATCACTATATGCTTTCATTGTTCAGAAACCAAATGCTCTGTTTTTGTGAAAATAGCCAATATAATTATGTTCATGTTATGAATACTACAATACGGCTGCCAATCTTATTTACCTTTGTAAGTAATTTCTGAAGTTCACCATTTGAAGCACATTGTTCAAATGGCTTAAATATTACCATTAGATATTTGAATATTGTTACTATAATGGATTGTATACACTGTCTTAGTTTTTTTCCATGTACTGATATCAAGAAACTTAATCTTTTTTTCAATTGTGAACATTTCTTAGAAATTTTGGAGAACTTTGTGTAACCTTTATAACTATGATTTAAAAAGAAAAGCAAATGCATTAGTATGTTTGCCTTAACTTGTAGACTAATCCAATTATTGTAAAATAAACCATGAAATCGATGATTTTTCTAAAATTATGCAGACATTGTATCATCTGTAAGCTTAATATTTTCTAGTAAATCAGATTAATTTAATTAGCTTTTTTTCTATTCATCCTGTAAAGCCATTGAGTAAGTATTGGATTGTTCTGACACTAAATATTCACCCAGTAATTTTTCACTTGCGTTCTCAGGTTTATCCGTTTGCCTGTCCATTTGTCTGTGACTTTCCTATCCAGTGTACTTAAATTGTTTTGAGCTTGGTGGCTGACTCTGCAATTTCTTTGGCAGAAATGCTTTTCCGAGAACTTCTTGGGTTTCTTCCCAGGAAGGGGAAATAAAGTAGCAGAAGGGAGTTCAGAAAGTGTGTAAAATATCAATGAAAGGTAATACTGCCCCACTTTGATACAGGTAAGACGCTTTGCTTCAGAATATAAAAAGTAAAGGTATACCCAATAAACAAATGCCTGAAAAGGATCTCATTCTGCTAAGTGGACTTGAAACTTAGAGCTATGAATCCAGTTTTGTTTGTTGTATTGCTTTGTCTCTCTTACTTGAACCATGAAACTTTTTTAAGAGGTGCTGTTCTGTTGTGTAATTTCAGGATGTCATAAAATTAGGCTTTACTTGAGGAATTGCTCTTCACAGTGGGATTGCTGCTGTATGTGGGTATGTAGATCTTCAATGGAGCAGCATAATTTTGGGTGAATGGGGTGTTTGGAGGTGGGGATCAACGTAAATCAATGTCTCTGTGATTACAGACTCCCTGTACTGCCGCACAGAGGCGTGCGGTTTGGTTTGGGAGGGTTTTTTTTTTTCCTCAAATGGGGTGAATTGCACAGTGCAGTATACTTACCCTGCCGCCGCGCACATCTGAACATTTCAAAGGCAGAGAAGTTTCTTAGCTGAACGTGCTGTTTGCATTGTGCGTTGAGTTGCATACGCATAGCCTCAGACTTTGATTACCAGTGCCCAGTGGCTATTAGCAGCTCCTCTAGGATACGTAGTATTTTCCAGCAGTGGCTGCTACAGTAATACTGTGCTGTTCATCTTCCAGATATAACAGGTTTAATTCCTAAGGAACTAATCTATAAATAGACTATAAGGGACAAAGATTACAATGTATATACATTTAACAGAATTGTAAATATTTTAAGTAGGATGTGGGAAGAGTTTTTAGATTAGTCCTCGTTGTTCGGTGTTAACCACCTCATTAAATTTTTTCCAAGCCTCTCGGTATTGGGTGTGTCTCGTTCGTTGTTACCCCCCTCATTAAATTTTTTCCAAGCCTCTCGGTATTGGGTGTGTCTCTTAAAGCTCGAACCCCTGGCTGGCAGCATGTGAAGAAAAATACTTAAAACGTGACCCGAGGACTTGCAACTCCACGGGAAAAAGGAGGAGCACCGGGCGGCCGGTACCGGCGCCGGCGGGGGAAGAGGA